AAACCAACTCCAGTATGTAAAAGCAAAGAGCCTTTATTTTAATCAAGTTTGCATACTCGGTCTCTCCACATGTCCACTGAATTAGAATAACCGGAGAGCCCCAAGTTCAATTAGAATTGTGTTTTTATAGTAGTAAAGGTGGGGGGGTCTCTGAAGTTCAGGACCCCTGATTGGGTGACATTTGTCCAGGGTGTCCTGGTAAATGTGCGGTGGCAGGTGTTTATATCTACAGCACTTGGAAAGCCAGGCATTTCCTTTGAATGGTCTGCTCTTGGGTGGGGGTCAGGTTGTCTCAGCTTGTGGTTCTTTCCTGCTACCAGGTATTGCTTCAGGGTAAACTGAGACTCGGGCCTCTTATTAGATTTATCGAGGGCCAAGTTCTACTCTGGCAGGTGATAATGGTTGGAAGTAAAGAATTTCCTTTGGGTGACCTGCCCAGACTTAGCTTATCATGGCTGGCCCCCACAGAGGTGTGTTTCTTGTATACAGCAGAAGGCTGGATCCTATTTTTATATCCATTCTCTTAGCCTGTGTCTTTCTATAGGTGAATCGAGTCCATTGATATTAAGCAATATTAATGACAAGTGGTTGTTAATTCTGGTTATTGTTTGGTAGTAGTGTTTGTGTGTTTCTTTTCTTTGGGTTATGCTGGGGAGGGTATCCGATGCCTGTGTTTTGGTGGGTGCAGTTAGCTTCCTTGGGTTGGGGTTTTCCTTCTAGTTCTTTCTGTAAGGCTGGGTTTGTGGATACGTATTGTTTAAATCTGTTTTTGTCCTGGAACATCTTGTTTTCTCTATCAATAGTGAATGAAAGCTTTGCTGGGTACAGTAGTCTGGGCTTGCATCCATGGTTTCTTAGTGTCTAGAGCAAATCTATCCAGGACCTTCTTGTTTTCATGGTTTTCAATGAGAAGTCGGGTGTAATTCTGATAGGTTAATCTTTATATATTACTTGACCTTTTTTTTGCAGCTCTTAATATTCTTTCTTTATATTCTGCATGTTTTATATTTTGATTATTATATAACGAGGGGATGGTTTGGGTTTTTGTTTTTGTTTTTGTTTGTTTGTTTTTGATCCAGTCTATTTAGTGTTCTGTGAGCTTTTTGTACCTTCAAAGGGATATCCTTCTTTAGTTTGGAAAATTTTTCTTCTATGATTTTGTTGGATATATTTTGTGTGCCTTTGAGCTGGAGTTCTTCTTATTCTTCTACCCCTATTATTCCTAGGTTTCATCTTTTCATGGTGTCCCAGATTTTCTGGATGTTTTATGTTCAGAATTTGTTGGATTTAATTTGATCAATGAGTCTATTTCCTCTATGGTATCTTCAGTGCCTGAGATTCTTTTTGCTATCTCTTGTATTCTGTTGGTTATACTTGTCTCTGTAGTTCCTGTTCATTTACTCAGATTTTACATTCCAGAATTCCCTCGATGTGTGTTTCCTTTATTACCTCTATTTCAGTCTTCAAGTCTTGAACTTTTTTTCCTCCCTGTTTGATTGTTTTTTCTTGGGTTTCTTTGAGGGATTTATTAATTTCTTCCAATTTTTTGTTTCTCTTCTCCTCCATTTCTTTAAAGAAGTTTTTCATTTCCTCTTTAAAGGTCTCCATCATTTTCATAAAGTTTTCTTTAAAGTTGTTTTTCTTCTACTTTTTCTGGGTTAGGATGATCAAGTCTTTCTGTTGTGTGACCACTGGGATCTGGTGTTACCGTGTTGCTTTTTTGGTTGTGGGAGGAATTCTTGCATTGGTGCCTACCCATCTCTTCCTTCAAATGAGGCTGACAGTGTCTTTGTGTCTTGTCCCAATCCTTGCAGTGGCTGTCTGAGAGTTTGGGAGTTTTTCTTGGTCTGTTCTGTATTGTCAATGTCTGTCTCAGAAAGCTTCTGAGGTCTCTATAAGCCTGCTCTCTTGGTCTTGTCTCCTGGTTTGCTCTCTTGGTACTCTTTCTTGATCCCCTCAGTGTTGTAGCAAGCTCTTGGTCCTTCTTGAGTCCCCTCAATATTGGAGCAAGCTGTGTTTCAGAGTTCCACTGAGGTTGCAGGAGGATAGGCGGGTTTGGGGGTGGGGTGAGGCTAGTAGTTTGGATGGCAACTGGATAGGTTTGGGTTTGTGGGGGATCCTAGCTACAGGAAACTCCCTGCTGGCTGGCTAGAAAAGCTGAGGGAGCTGGGGGAGTGGTCTGGGGTTTTGTTCCACTGAGGAGGTCCTAAAGAGTGGAACATCTGGCCATGTGGCTGTTCACTCATCTCTTAAGTCCAACAATTTTCTTCTTTTAAAAATATTTCATGGTTTCTTTCCCTTTTCTATTTTTCCTTAGGAGATCATTGCGTGTTTCAAAATGTGTACACATAAAAAATAAGGTATAGGAGCAAAATAAAGATGAATAGAATATTTGGTTTCCTGAGCTGATTCTTCTACCTACCAAGAGATACCCAGTACTTGTGGTGTGGCTTTCCCCACCTCCTTTTCCCCTTTGTGCTTCCCTGTGTCTGTTCATACCCTCAGACACTGCATTTCCACTTGTTTGGGAATATTATAAAACACTGAAGCAAGCAGGTTACATTCCTCTGCAATTTGATTCGTCACTGAAACCTTACTTTAGAGATTTCCAAAATCCAAGTTCATGATGGAAGGAATGCGATGGTAATGGTCTGGAGGCGAGAGCTCCCTGCTGCTTCATGAGGCAATTGACAGTTGCTCGACTACCTTGTAAGCGGACTGTGGCCTGAGATGGTTCAGCTAAGGCGAGGTACAAGTTGAAGCCAGAGCTGGACTGTTTATGACAATGGAGAAGAGAGAGACCCAGCTTCGTGTCCTAGCCTCCCTTTCCTAAATCTGTGACTCTCTCACTTCTCGGTGGTCAACAAGTAAAGGCTTTTTCTTTCAAAAGATGTAACTTTATGAGCCTGCCGGGGATACTGAGACCATTCAGCCCAAGAAAAACAGCAAGGTTCGGGTTCTGATGCCATGACCTGCAACCATTTGCTGCCCCGGAACCTTCATGCTTCAAGACTCACACATTGAAACATTACCTTCCCAGCTAGGACTTGATTGGAGTTCCTCACTCGCCTAAGCCACCCAGGTTTCTCTCTTGCCTGGACCACTGTCGCGTCAGTTTCTGTGCTTTGTGTCCTGTGGGCTCTCCTCCACATGCTCAGGGGTCCTTCGTTCACACTCTACAAGGGCCTCCAAGCTGTGCTTAGAACAAAATCCGAGACCCTTATAAAAATGGCTGCCAAGCCCCTAATGGCTCTCTTCTTACCCGTTTCTCCGTGTCATCTGTCCTCTGCCCCTTCAACCATAAGAACTTTCCTGTCCTTGCCCAAGCTTGTTGCATCTTGGGGTGGCCGCCTTGTGAGGCAGGTGCATTTCTTCCCCTAGATCTGTGCGTCTGGTCGTTTCCTTCTTATCTCAGTACAAAAGTCATCTTCCCAGAAATACTTCCTGGATTACCAGTAATAGCCAACGAACCCCAGGCCCCGACGGAGGCCCTTCTAACAAGTGCTCTTTCATTCCCCTCCCACTCCTTATCACGCACCGAAATTGGGCTTTGTTGTTGTTCACTTGGTCACTGATTTCTACTCTAAGGTCTCATTGTCAGGAACTCGAGCTTCTGCTTCATCTGCTCTACTCCGAGTCTCCAGTATTTGGTGCAGCGCTTATCACACACTGGAAAACCACTGTTTCGCTGTTCTACATATTAATAAAGTTAATGTTGTTGATGTGCTAGCAGTAACAGAGCCCAGTCGGCACTAGCCTGGATGCTCATACAAACTGTGATTATTTCATTATCCTTATCTTCCATCGGGAGGATTTTCTATGCTATTTATAGTTACTAAAACAGGTTACTCTCCCCTTTCAGAGTAGGTGCAAAGAAACTCAATCACCTTGTACATTAAGTGGCATTCTCTATGTCCTTAACTCTTCCCTCCCTTGTATATTGCCATCCAATGTCTAGGAATCAGGAAGACTCTGAGTCCTCATGAGAGAGGCTTCACTGATGTCATTGGTCCTTCCAATCAGTGTGGATGATCTTGGACCCCATACATCAAATCCTGTTGCTCTCTGGCCCTAAACTTGCCGGGGCCCACACCAGTAGGTCGACTCCACCTTGACTGACGGTTAGAGACTTTAAGCCTATCCTGCTCTTTCAAAGTTATTGACAAGAGGTTTGACTTAAGGTGTGGCTACAAACAAGATATCTTGGCCTAGGGTATGGTTACTTGGGGTTGGGGGTATTGAGATGGCCCACAGAGGTGGATCCTTCCCACTTGACCAAAGGTCAGAGAATTCAAACCTATTCCTTCTCATTCAAGGTTATGACAGGAGATTTGAACCAGGGAGTGACTGCCTAGAGGAGGATACTTTGTCTAAGGTGTAGTTGCTGCAAGTCTTGCATAAACAATAGACTGTTTAACTCAGGAGAGAGTGGCTTGATATTTCAAGTATGAAGCAAGTAATTGCTCTGTTTGTTCTTTGTGTCATGTTAAAGCAGTATTTTGCCTTCTCCACCCCCCCCTTTTTGGATTGGGATATATAAGCATATGGAAAATAAACATGGATGTATTCAGTATTTACTGGATAGCCCTCCCAGTTCTATCCTGTCTCTGTAATTCTTTCGTATTTCTGTTCCTCTTATCTAATATTTCTAATCCCCTGTGCCCCTGCCTTGGAATTTGTGAACCCTGTCGAGGCTGGACCATTACAGATGTTGCCCCAAGGTGTGGCTATGACATAACCTCTTTAATGGCTTCCCTTTGCTTTGTCAAAAAAAAAAAAAAAATCCCAGAAGTAAACTACAGCTTGGTCCTGCCACCTCGCCAGTGCCTTGTGCCTGTTGCCCTCCTGGTTTTCACTGTGCTCTCCCACGTGGCTCTTGCTTTCATTTGAAACACTTCAAATCCAGAGAGGCAGACTGCGATGAACTGGAAGGCTCTTGCTAACTGAGGAGCAAACAAATTTTTATTTCCAGTACTTTGAAAGGAACTTTTTCCAGGGTTTGTAGGTCTGATTCTTTGAAGGTCAGAGTCAAAAGCGAGTTAGTGATATTCTCTGCAAACTAAAAGCCTAACAAGGTAATGCATGAAAATGAAAAAGAAAAAGAACCCTGACTGAATCTTTCCTATTTTCACAAAATTCAGTATAACCAACTTTTGGAGATCATCGTAGCTGCCTTTTTTAAGAAAAAATGTATTACTTACTAAAGTATCTATTAACTGTCTCTTGCTCCAACTGTGGAAAATGGACAGTCTCCCTGGCTTGTGTACATAGTATATTGATCTGGTTAGTGGAGACAGTCTCTCTCCATCTAAGTGCATGTGTGTGTTTGTATGTGCAGTTCTGTGTCATGGACAAGTTATATAAATTATCCACTGATATAGGAGTCCCCTCTGTGTGTGGCTTGTATTGGTTAATGAATAAGGAACCTGCCTTGGCCTGATACGGCAGAACTTAGGTAGGCAGAAAAGACAGAACTGAATTCTGGGAGGAAAAAAGCAGAGACAGATGCTGGGAATTTTACCCAGTAAGCCACTGCCGTGTGGCAATACACAGATTAATAGAAATGGGTTAAATTAATGTAAAAGTTAGCCAATAAGAAGTTAGAGCTAATGGGCCAAGCAATGATTTAATTAATACATTTTCTGTGTGATTATTTCGGTTCTGGGCAGCCGGGACGAACAAGCAGCTCCTTGCAACAATCTACCCGCTGGGTGTGCTCACACAGATGCGTCTTTGGGACACGTTTTATAATTTTAGATCCTTATGTTGATGATGCTAATTAGAAAGGAAGTTTCTTAAGTAAATTTCCCTCTTTGTATTTGCCAACTTTTTCTACACCCAAAGGTGATCTCACTTTGCTGTTACCAACTGTTAAGGTTTAAGTTCCTAAACATGTACATAAATTTCCTTGTCCTAGCCAATTCCTTATCCTCTCCAAGACTGACATTTGAATTAAGGCGTGGTTTCAAAGACTACACTCGTACCATAGTGCGCATGCTCTGGATCCTCACTAAATGCTTTTTTGTGGACAGAAAGGTTTTTGTTTTGTTTGGGGGGTGTTTGTTTGTTTGTTTGTTTTTTGGTTTTTCGAGACAAGGTTTCTCTGTGGCTTTGGAGCCTGTCCTGGAACTAGCTCTGTAGACCAGGCTGGTCTCGAACTCACAGAGATCCACCTGCCTCTGCCTCCCGAGTGCTGGGATTAAAGGCGTGTGCCACTATCACCCGGCTTGTTTGTTTTTTTTAAGATTGTTTTTATGTTGATGTCTGGCCCTTGGACTTTAAATAAGCAGGGACTTCCCGGCAACTTCCAGTTTGATCCCATGCTCGTTCAGTCCCAGTCCAGCTGGAGTTGGTGAGCTCCCATTAGTTCAGGCACACTGTCTCAGTGGGTGAACCCTTCATGGTTCTGACTTCCTTGCTCATATTCTTCCTCCTTCTGCTCCTCAACTGGACCTTGGGAGCTTGGTCCAGTGCTTCGATGTGGGTCTCTGACTCTGTCTCCATCCATCGCCGGATGAAGGTTCTATGGTGATATTCAAGATAATTATCAGTCTGCTCTGCCTCTCTTGTAAGGGTCCACACAAGTCAGATTTTCAAACAGAGGCCCTTGACACTTCCATCAAGAAGGATGTCCTGGGGTGGGGGTTGAGTGGTTGGAGTCCCTACATTTCACTTAATTTGAAACAAGGGTCTACTCGGGCAATTTAAATCCTCCATCAATAATATGATCTGGGACCGGACCATCGGTTCATTTCTTCTGAATTAAGACCTGCAATCACCTTTCTGAGGTTGAGCCAGTGGCCTTGGATGAGCTGACATTTCTCAGCAGCTCAGCTTCAAATGAGATATCATGGGCCTGTTCTGAGCCAGCAAGATTGGAGAGAAGTTGGGGAATTTCCAGATGCAAATAAAGAATATGTGTATACATACATACATACATACATTTACAGTGTGAGAGATAAAATAGAGGGAGAGGTAGGTCTCAAGAGTTCATCAGCATTTTTAAGGAGTGAAAGTTAGGAGCAGAAGCCAAGGAACAAAACTCTCCTGGATATTTCTCTTTTTTTCTTTTCTTTTTTTTTTAATTGGTATTTATTGAGTTCTACATTTTTTTCTGCTCCCCTCCCTGCCTCTGCCCTCCCCCCTTCAGACCTCCCCCAAGGTCCTCATGCTCCCAATTTACTCAGGAGATCTTGTCTTTTTCTACTTTCTACTTCCCATGTAGATTAGATCTATGTGAGTCTCTCTTAGTATCCTCATTGTTGTCTAAGTTCTCTGGGATTGTGTTTTGTAGGCTGGCTTTCTTTGCTTTATGTTTAAAAACCACTTATCCGTGAGTACATGTGATAATTGTCTTTCTGTGTCTGGGTTACCTCGCTAAAAATAATGTTTTCTAGCTCCATCCACTTTCCTGCAAAATTCAAGATGTTGTTATTTTCTTCTGCTGTGTAGTACTCCATTGTGTAAATGTACCACATTTTCTTATCCATTCTTCGGGCGAAGGGCATTTAGGTTGTTTCCAGGTTCTGGCTATGACAATCCTGGATATTTCTTTACCATCTCTAACTAACTTATGCTGCAGAAATCTACAGGTAAATCATTAGTAAAAGTAGAATGTGAAGAATGACCCATTTTAACAAAATGAGAATTATGCCAGCAGAAAATATGCCTATTAGAAATTCTTGAATATAAGAATTAGATTACTCCAATTGTTCTTTTTGATTTGGTTGGTTTTTCATGGCAAGGTATATCTGTGTTGTTCTGGCTGTCATGGAACTCGCTCTGTAGAACAGGCTGGCCTAGAACTCACAAAGATCCACCTACCTCTGCCTTTGGAGTGCTGGGATTAAAGGCATGGGCCACCACCACCCAGCTAGGTTACTCCAATTTTCATTGTTATTTACATTTAAATAAAAGAGTCGATAACACTCGTGTTCAATATATAAGATACTGTAAGAGCCATCAGTAAAAATTATCTACAACAGAAGAATTCTGGGTAAACCCAGCTTCAGTTTATAGAGGCAATTGATGCACAAATGTGCATGCCTGTGTGAATATGTGGATGTATGTCACGTGTGTGTGTGTGTGTGTGTGTGCGCGCGTGCGTGCGTGCGTGCAAAAAGGCTAGAAGAAGGTGTAGAGAGCCCAGAGAGTTTTCTGATTTAGGTGCTGGGAACTGAGCTCAGGTCACCTGTAAGAGGAGGAGGCACACTTGTTTGTTTAGCTGTCTTTAGCCCCAGAACCAACCATAAACTTGGAATTGGCTTTGTGCTCATAACAGGCCAAAAAAGATGAGATCTGCTCTGACATCGGGTTCATGGAGTCCCGTGTCTATCTTACTCTGTCATACCAAATTTAGTTTAAGAAAGGAACAATTAGTTTTAAACACTCAAATCTGTGAGATTATTTTTTGCCTTCCATATTAATTGCATGTCTGTTATCTTCTGTTACCTCTCCAGGGCCCAAAAGTAGATCTGCTTATATATAGACTGCAGGTCAGAATTGAGCAAGGCTCCTGCTTTTGCGTGGGACTATATGCCATGAGTCATGGTCAGAGTGCTGCAACTCCAGAGTTATTACCTGTGTGAGAGAAAGACGGGAAGGCAGTTACAGACCATAGAGTGGGCCAAACTGTTACAGAATTTGTTATTATTTTTCTCAAGAGTCTCCAAAATAAATTTAAATACACATAAAAAAATCAAAACCAAGGAGTTTTTACACCAGAAAAGAACTTGGGGAAATGTGCTCAAACCTTCCATTTTCCTTATTCCCGCTTTCACTTTTTCTTCTTCTTCTTCTTCTTCTTCTTCTTCTTCTTCTTCTTCTTCTTCTTCTTCTTCTTCTTCTTCTTCTTCTCTCTCTCTCTCTCTCTTTCTCCCTTTTTTTTTCCTTCCTTCCTGGAGTAAAGCAAAACAAACATATGATCAAGAGGACATGAGCCAAGAGGAGGTGCAGACAGAAGGATTTTCCAAAACCTCAGATCCACTCACAGCAGCCAGTCCCTTTCGATGCCTTGATAGTTACCCACTGACAAGAAAGCAGCACAGCCCTGAGAGGACTTAGGAGCTTGCCTTCCCTTTCCTCCGCTATCCATCCTGAGCTTCAGGCCAGCTATACCAGGCTGCCAGTGTTCCCGGGCACTTTCTGCTCATCTGCATCCAATTCATCCATCTGCCATGAGTGTGTGGCTGATCTTGGTACTATGGCCAGCCTGTCCTCCATCTAGACAGATATGTACATTTAAACTTCCTAGTGAAAGTACTTAAACCTGTTTCTACACTAAACACACATAGACTTTCTGGTCATCATTCCCTAAAACTATATATAACAACTAATGTTACTATAATCTATGAGCTCGGTAGCTTGCACCCTGTTATGCTGAAATACTGGACTTTAATAAGGGATTTGAGGACACACAGATTTTCATATCCAAGGGAGTCCTGGAACTAATCTCACATGGATACCAGAGAATGGTTGGCTAAATTTGTGTTCTCCCGAATTGCAAAATACCTAGTTTATACATTGTCTGTGAGTTTCTACCAAATTGAAATTCCAGAACAATACTCCAGGTTGTTAAATCAGTCCATTTTCTTAAAGTATTACTGACGAGTGAGTTCAGAAGTCTGTGTAAATGCTGAAGTTTGAGGAAATGCACAGCCATGGGTAATAATAAAGTAGTACAATTTGCCTAAAGAGGGATTTAAGCACACATTTTCAGAAGTAGGGTAGAGATGCCGCGTCTGAGCGTTTTTTCCCGAGGCCGCATCCGGCACACACTAACAGCTTTACTCTGGTGGGGCTCACAATAGCAGGTTGTGCTAAACAACCCAAATTCTTGGCAGTGAGTGATTTGCTAATGAAACCATGTGGGAATGTGGGCTTAATACATAAAAAGACAGCTCAGTTGATAAAATGATTATCATATAAACACCAGGGCCTAAGCTTGATCCTCATGAATCTATGTTTAAGAAAGAAAAAAAAAAAAAAAAAAAAGCCAGGCTAGACCTACGGTACGTGTGTGCAAAGATAGGAGAATTCTTGAGGCTTCTGACCAGGCAGGCTAGCCAAATAGCTGAACTCCAGATTCAGCCACAGATTCTGCCTCAAAAAACAAGATGGAAAGTTATTGAAGAAAACATCTCTTGATGACCTCTGGCCTCCACACATACACACATACATACACACATGCGCGAGTGTGTGCGCGCACACACACATAAATAAATAAATAAATGTATTCCAATAAAAGAGAAGTTTTGCAGCCATGGAAAGATGATCTTGCTGAATTAAGAAGTTGAAAATTGTGGCCTGTGTATTATAATCCAAGCTTTGAAACAAAAATGTTTTATTCATAAAAGATGACAAACTCACAAGTTATTATTTAATTATCTAAGTGACAATAAAGATTTTTTAAAAAAAATAATAAGACACTACAAATTGAGATAATAGGTGAGATAAACTGGGTATTAATAGGCACACGTTAATAGCTGCCTTGGCCTTTTCTCTGAGCAAAGCGATGATGGAAAAGGCCAGAAGGTTAGTGTCTCACAGTTTGCAAGCCGCAGCAGCAACTTCTTAGCTGTGTGTCTATTGGTGGGATGACTACGCCTGCTAGGACACTTTCCAGTATGGCAAGCTGAAACAGCCATTCCGTAAGCAGTAATTGTTCTTTCACCGGCTAACAAACAAAAGGACTGAAACTTTGCTCCCTGGTCTTCAGAGCCCCTCCCCGCGGGCTGCAGGCACCTCACCACCACCCACGAGCTCAGAGCAGTCATTTCCTCAGAGAAAACTACTTGCCACCATGATTTGACCTATTACAGCCATCTCAACTAAAGCATTTTACACAGAAAACAGTAAACTGCGAACTAGACTACAGTTCCTTAATGGCTTCAAGGCCCAAGTGGACTTTCAGACTCTTCATTGGATCCTTATTGGGCCACTTCGCCTCCTATGCATGCTAACGAGTCACCCTGGGGCTTAAAACAGAGCTCTTGGTCTCCGAGGGTGGGGTGAGAGCAAGGGGCTTGGAGACAGCTGGTTGCTTTTACATGGGACTGGCCTTTCTGGAAGAAAAATCGGCCTGGTTTCTGACTATAAACAGGAATTAGTAAGGCAGGAGTAGAACAAAGAAGTACAGTGACTGAGAGCCCTTTCCTAGAGAGCAGGCCCGCGGCCCTGGGAAGGAGAAAGGGCCAGACCCCTTCTCCTCGCTGTGATTTCTATTAGACTCAGTGTCAGCCAGAGGACCCGGTTAGGGGTAGACAAAGCCGACTTTAGAGTAGAAGTTCAGGCACCTCATACTGTGTGTGCCAGGCAAGTTACAAAACTCTTTGAGCTCAGTTTTCCCACCAGAAAAGTGGGTGCCGTCAAGCCTACCTGGCAACATTGTTGGGAGTAATTAGGTTAATATAGGAGCCCATGAGCGTACCACATAAATGCTGATGTAACACATAAAGGCTGCTGACATCATCTACAGAGGGAAAAGAAAATCAAGTGGGTTGGGTACAAAGAAGGCTGGCAGATTTCAATAGATTATCTTTTAATTCCAAAATGCCAGCCAGCATCCGGCAGCCACAGAGACGGTATCAGGGGAACCCACATCATCTCCAGGTAGAAGTTACTGTTGCCCCAGCCTTTCTGGGGAAGAGAGCATGGCATACTCTCTTTTTAGAGACCTTCTGCCTCTCTAGCCTTAGCTTTGTCTTTGCTTGCCATTGTCAACATAGGCTTACCATCATGGGCAAGTGTTTCTGCGTCATCAGAATGCGACCAGACCCCAACTCGCGGATGGGGCTTCAGGAATTCAAAGGCAGAGAGGTTTGGGTTTTTTTGGATTTTTTTTTAAGTAAAGGAGGAGGAGATTAATAAAAACAAGAACTACCAGTTGGAGCTGGCATTCTTCACGGATGGTGCATTTGAGTTATTGAAGTTTAATCATAAACCTTCATTGGGAAATATAAAACTCACTGATGTCCAGGAGTCTGACATTTGCAGCTGACCGCCATCTCCCTTCCAAATGAGGCCTCACTTTCTTAAGTAGGGCAGCGGGGAAACCAAGGTCATTTCTAGGTTTCTTCTTGGTCTTTTTGCATCACCTTAAAGATCAGCTCTCTCTCTCTCTCTCTCTCTCTCTCTCTCTCTCTCTCTCTCTGTGTGTGTGTGTGTGTGTGTGTGTGAGAGAGAGAGAGAGAGAGAGAGAGAGAGAGAGAGAGAGCTACAGCTCTCCATAATAAAGATTAAAGCAATGGCTAAAGCGAAGTGACAGAAAGCCCTTTTGAAGGAAAAGGTTCACTGGCCTGGAAGGAACCACAGACATCAAGTCCCCTATCTGTCTGATAACATTTCATCTAAACTCCTTCCTGGTTGAATGGAGATCCAGCCAGCGCAAATGCTCACGAGAAAGCTGAAAATCACATAGCCATTCTTTCATCCATCTCAACGACAGAAATGTATGAAGTGCCTTAACAAAAACAAAAACGTGCCTTTAATAAACCCCTGCTCATGAACAAAGCCGGCTAGGAACACAGAACTAAAGGTTTCCACGTGAGGAAGACATTGTGCACTTACAAGTAAACAAGTATTCTTTACAAGGAAGTGTCTGAAGGAGAAACTCAAGGCCCCCGTGAGTCACCAAGATGGAACGAGACCATATGTAGGGAAGACCTTGTATGGTCAAAGAATTAAATGACGCCAGTGTCCTCAGAGCGGGTAGAGCAGAGGTAGGCAGGGTTAGCCACTTGGGCTTCACAGAGCAGAGGAGGAGGGATTGGATATCTACAGAGTCCAACAGCAAACTAAGGTTAACAGCTAGGCCTTGTGGGCAGCCGCGCCACGAGAATATGAACCTCTGAAGTGCAAGGCTGCAGCTCAGCCTCCCTCACAACTTACCAGGGGCATGACAACATTCTCTTCATCTCAATGGCATCCTTCCCCAGAAGCTAGCGCTGCGAAATACATGGATTGAGTTCCTCTATGAGTTAGTTACCCCATGCTAGGCAACAACGAGGTACGCGGCTGAGTAGAGGCAGTCAAATAAAACACAGATAAACGACCGAGTCCTGTTCAAAGTCAAACAAGCGCTGCAGAGAAGCGAAAGGTCAGCAGGGTTTATCCCTGGATTGCACTGTGAGTGTGACTCCTATTGGCCACGTGACCTTGGGAGGACGTCGCTCTCAACCCAAGCGCTTTGGATACACGAGAGTAGGTTTGGAACACTGAAAACACAATTGAGATGCTTATCTTGAAGGGTTTTGGGTTTTGCGTGTGTGTGTGTGTGTGTGTGTGTGTGTGTGTGTGTGTGTGTGAGAGAGAGAGAGTGGTATATGTGGACGTGCTTGTGTACATGTATTCAGGCATTTTGTGTGAAAAGAGACAAGTATGGAAGCCAGAGGTTGGCGTTAGGTGTCTTCCTCAATCACACTACTGTAGATATTGATGCAGAATTTGTCACCGAGCCCCAGAGCTCACCAAGAATTTTCTAGTCTAGCAAGCCAGTTTGCCTGACTCCGCTTCCTCAGGGCTGTGATTACAGGTGATCCACCTGACGTTTATGTGGGTTCTGGGACCGGAACTCTAATCCTCACAGTTGCTAGAGAAATACTTTATCTACTGAGTTATCTCCCGACTTCTAACCTGGAGTTTTAATCTAACCATTCACTTATAAATCTTAGTGTGTATTTCCTCTCTGTTTTTCTATTCAGCCTGCAAACTCTATCTTATTAAATATCTACCAATAAGGCACTTTTAAAGAGTTTTGTCAGCAGTTGGTTGTATTTACAGACTTCAGGAGTTAGAGTTCTCAGATAGTTTAACTGTATTTATAAGTTAAATTTAATTTTAAAAGTTTCAATCGAGGCCGGGTGGTGCAACCCTTTAATCCCAGTACTTAAAAGCCAGCAGCAAAAAGATGTCTGTGAGTTTGAGGCCAGCCTGGTCTAAGAAGAAAGTTCCAGGATGGCCAGAGCTGTTACACGGAGATACCCTATCTTGGAAAATCAAGACAAAACTCTTAAACATCTGATCTACAAAGTTATAGAAAATTAACCTAATAATTAGACTGATCAGTATGATTGGCATGAATTTCTACTAAAAGTTGTATTTCAATAATATGTCATTTGTAAATTTTATATTAGAATAACATGAAACCATTTTAACAAATCAGATTCTCAATTATTACTTGTATATAAAAAATGGTCTGATGCAATGCTCATTGGGGGTGGGGGAGCACACAATAGAAAATATAGGCTTCCCCTAAGGTCTTCAGGCAGGGAGGCAGCATCACAAGGGGAGCCTCTAATTTCTCCCACAGGGAAGATGTTTATTTAGAATTAACCAAGGTCTTTAGAGAACAGTCTTTAACTGGCCTCCTTTGGAAAGAGATTCCTAGCCTTGAAGAGTTCCATTCCAAGGTGGTTGCCATCTGCTTTGAACAAACTTTCCACTAAACCCTTTGTTTTCAATATCATCTCTTACCCCTTATCATGCCACGTATATAGAAGTGCGCGCGCGCACACACACACACACACACAAGGGGGGGAAGAAGAAAGTAAGATCTATCTTGCTCCATGTGACTACTAAAATTTGAGAATAATTCAGATCCCACAAACGCCAGCACTTAACCAAGCTGCATAGTCGGAGCCTGAGTGCACATGCCCAATCTGCCTTTTCTTCTAGTATGAGCCCAATGATAGACTTATGCTGTTCCCGTGGTTAACTGCAACCCACATAAGACCTAATACCTGGCCAAATGGTGCCAAATATTTTCTGGGCCCGGACTCATAAACACTCATCTGTAATGAAAAGCTCGGTCCGGTGAGCAGCTAAAGAGAGAGGCCCAGGTGTTGCTGGAGAAAGTCAACTTATTTGAAAGAATATGTGGGGCCTGGCAAGGACACAGCCGCCACTCCCTCCCCACCTCCCCCAGTCTTGAGAGTATCACAACAAACAGGCCTAACCAAGAGCTCTCCTCCAGACACTTGGGCTGGCTGAAAAAAAACGAGCAGGACAGTAAACACTGGTTGTTTCTCTCAGGACCTAACTAATGAGATTACCTGCCTCAGAGACACCCAGGGACTTCAAGGTGAGGCGATTTGCAAATTAAATTCCCTGAAAGAGGGATGGTTTATCGCCATTGTTTGCTGGGATCTAAAATTACTCTGCACGGAAGAGCAGGCTGTCTCTTACTCTATTGTGCCCGGCTTCAGAGAAGCTAACTGCCAGCCTTGCTCTTGTCGGGGAGTCCAAACATTATCATTCAAAGGCTGTATTTACAAATGGAGCAGGATGGCCATAAAACCGATGACCTTGCTGCTTCTGGAATCTCATAAAAAGTTTTCAAGCTGCTCCTCCCCAAAGCAAATAAGGGTGTTGCAGTTGCTAGTCCCTGGCAGCACTCCAGCTGGGGCTATTACGTTCCTCCCTCATAAACTTTCCTCTGAGCTCCGAATACAGACTTGCCTGCTTGTCTGGGCGCTTAACTCTGGAAGTGCTGCTGCATTTGGCACATTTTAAACCCAGATGGAGGAGCAACAAAGAAGAAAAAGAGGGCGAGAGAGAACAGAGGCCGCTTGCACCATTCCACTGTGGCCCAGAAACTACAGTTTTCTTATTCAAGCTTTGTAACTAATTCACATAGCTTTTCCCCCCTCTGTGTTCTCATGCACAGAAGGGGTGAATCTGACTTTTTTGAGTGTAAATGTGTGTGTGTGTGCATGCGTGCATGTGTGTGTGCATGCATGTGCGTTTGTGAACTTCCCTTTGGCCTACATAATCTAGATCACCTGGTGATAGAGGGGAGGTGGAAGAAAGGCAATGAGGGTAATGAGTCAGGGCAGGACTTCTGAGAACCTGTTGTTTCACTGAAGAGAATCTGGCCTAGACGGCAGGTGTCTTTTTGCCCTTTCCCCTTCTTTCCTCTTTGAAGAACATAGGACTTAGAGGAGGAGCCTTCTCTATGATCAAAAGGAGAAGGCGGTAAGCAACAAGGAGGACCGAGACAAGGCATGGAAGTCTCTGGGAGATGCTCTCTCATCCAAGTACTATTAACACACACACACACACACACACACACACACACACACACACACGGAAGGGAAGGAGGGAGAAAGAGAACACCATTCCTTACAGTGGTAGAAAGACTAAAAGAGAAACTTGCTCTACAGTCTTTACCTACTAGTGTCCTAGTGGTCATGGTTGTGTGCTGAACTTCCCTTGCACAGGGAGGAACTGATGACTTTTTTTTTTTCTCTGAACAATAGGAATGACAAAGGTGGCAGAATATGTGAGCTTCAACTAGGCGTGTGTTATAAGACTTCATCCAGCAGCCGATGTAGTCTAGAGAGCTTCCTGGGTAACGATGGCGTGAGCAGCCTAGGGACCAGACAACTTCCTTATGAGAGAAGCTCATGTGACAAGGAACTGTGGGACACTTCTAAGAACCGAGAGCAACCTTCCAGCACTGAGTCTGACAGAGTCAGAAGCTGCCCTCCATCCTGCCACTGAGGACTCTCAACTAGGGATGCCTCCAGGGGCGAGTGCAGCCCAACTAACACCCCAAACTAGAGCTATGTGAGGTCCTAAGGGAAGGGTACAATGTAGCCATGCCCAGACTCAAGACCCACAGATACTTAGTCAGTGTGCGCTGTTTAAAGTCACTAAGTTGGTGGCGATTTGTTATGCAGCAATATTACACTAAATCCACTCTTTTATACTACTCTGGCTGTCTTCCCAGATACGCTGAGAAATAAAATGTGTTGATGGCTACCCACATAGATGATGAATTTTGGTGACCTCCACAAAGTGTTGAGGGTTGGGAGGTGATGCTAAGAGAAGGTAGGGTATCAAGTGTTCCGGGTTAAAGAGAAAGCAGGGCGCTTATTTGTTTTCTCAAAATAGAACTGAGCAGTCTCACTCCAAAGGCTTTAGATGGCAGCTAGAGAGATGGCTCAGTGCTTACGAGAACTGGCTGCTCTTTCAGAGGATCCATGCTCAACCCCCAGTACCCACATGGCAGCTCACAACCGTTAAGGACCAACATCCTTTCTGGCTTCCAAGGGCACTCGGTACATACATGATGCATAGACACACATGTAGGCATTATATTTGGTTGTGAAAAGGCTTTTAGGTGATATGGCTCTACTCATAGCCTGCCTGTCTGGCATGTACAAGGCCTTGAATTTCAACCCCAGCAAAGGATAAATCAAACTCAGTGGCACCTGTCTGCAATCCCACCACTCAGGAGGTAGAGGTAGAGGTGAAGGCAGCAGAGTTGGAAGTACAAGGCCAACAACCTCAGCTAAATGGTGACTTGAAGTCAGCCTGGGCTAAACACGACCCTCCAAAATAAAATGCTTTTAGCTACCAGGTGATTAAGAATTAGAAAAGAAAAGAAAACCTGAAAACTCCATCTTTGACTGATCTAAGTCAGGAGAATAGAAAAAGCTCTCTCCTTTTAAAGTTTTCAGACTTGTTGGGTAGTTTTGTAACCCAAAAGTACTAGTATTAGCTGGCTTCTCTGAGTGTTCATCGTGTGGAGGGCTGCCTGCATCAAGCTTGTCTCTTAAATTATCTTTACCCACATTTGTCCTATAAAGTAGGAATAATCATCACTCCCACGGAATACACGGCGAGCTGAGAAGAAAAAGAGGCAAAGTGGCCGGTCAGTAGGAGGCAGGACTCAAAAGCAAGCCGGCCTCGGTATTTAAACACTGTGCTTTCCATTTGGCTGTAAAGGATTTTTAAAAATTGGGGACAGGAGAGATGCCTTCGTGGTTAAGATCACCAGATCTTCCAGAGTTCCTGAGTTCACTTCCAGCAACCATATATTGATACACAAGCATCCATGATGAGATCTGGTGCCCTCTTCTGGCAAGCAAGCAGACATGCAGGCAGAGCACTGTATTCTTGGTAAAGAAATCTTTTAAAACAGGGAGGGGGGAAGAAGCCCTTTCCTACATTCTAAGTGCCTGGAGAAAAAAAAAACACAAATAACTTTTTGATGTATTTCCTAACACAATAGTAGAATGGACAAATGTGTACTATTTCTTTCAGTGGATATGCTATA